ACCTCACCTTTGGCCATTCACCTCCATCATTGTTGACTTCAGAGCTCATCCGGAATCTTTGACATGCTAATGCCGAGCACAGCAGTGCAGGCAATAAATATTCAAGCAGAGCAAACCCAATTAGCCTCAAAAATCCTGTTCCCTTCACCTCGCTGTGTGTAGTTCAGCCTGTCATTGGCAGCACCGCTTTGAAGAGGGCTTTTGTACCTGCTGCATGGTTTAGGGGTTATATTGTGTCTTGGGAATCCTTTCTTGGAGTCAGGTTCAGGACAAGCTGTGTCTTGTCCTGCAAAACAACCCAGAAGTACTAGTGAAGACTTGAGCAGTATTGGAGGTTCGGATGGTTCCCATTTAGCGAGCTGTGGCTGAGGTCAAGCACAGCCCCATGACACATGTGAGCTGGTTCTTCATCCAGCTGCTCATGTCCATCTTGCAAATCCTTGCCACCACCACTCTCACTAGCCATTCCCTGCTCCAACGGTTCTTGTACAGGAGATAAGTAGGGAGAAGAGTTTAGAAAGCCTCCTGGGGAGACACGTGTGTGGAGGCTTGTACAGAGGGGAACTGGGCAAGGTCTGGAGGAAGAGAGGACCTGTGAGACTCTGTGGATATAGAAGGGCAGATGCCATGGCATGGGACTGTGCTATAGCCTACGCTCCAAAACAGGGCTTGTTCCGAAAGTCCTGGGGGCTGCCTCTACCTCCTCATTTCCCACTCTCCACCTCTATGGCCAGTTTTGGGATGGAGCTGCCTCTTCATGGAAGAGGATGGCTAGCAGCTGCTTTGCTTGCAAAGCCACCAAGTGCAGGGCTAATGCCACACTGTGCTACTCAATGCCACAGCTCTTGCAGGTCAATGAAGGGTTGCCAAAGTCAGTATGACGGATGTGCCTGCAGCAGTTGGCCAGATGAACTCTTTATCTGGCATCCACCTTTTTTCCTCCCCTGTTTCTGATATCCAGGTGACGCATCCACGTGCCTTTGGAGTGGAGTCTCTCTGCTCCAGTGCTTGTTACTGCTCTGTTTAACATGAGCTTAGCACCTGAGATGGCAAATCTGGCTGCAGGACCAGCAAGAACATCTCAGGTGTCACTGACTCAGAAGCTTTTCTTTGTGTTTATGAACTTGCCTCTGAGTGCTCTCTGGGCCCGTCTTCCCCTGTGTAAGAAGAGATGTGTGTTATCAAGGCTCCTCGCTAGTTCTTTGTGGCTGGGCCAGGAGTATGAAGGTGTGAAGACAGAGATTGCCAGGGAAGTCCTCAGTGAAGCCTGACATTGCGCAGAGGCACAGAGGCCTCACACAAAAGAGATCACAGAAGGCTGCAGGAAACGGTGCTGCCTCCAAAGCGGCAGCTCCGCTCCCCCGGGGACTGCAGCGACAGAAGGAACAGCACGTACGAGGTTGGTGGGTTTCTGCCAAACCCCAGAGCCACGGGCTGTGGCCACGGCAGGGTGCTGATCCTGTCTCCCACTGCATGGCCATTCATAACGTGGGATCTGTTTAAATCTCTTTCCCTCGGAACAAAAGCGCCAGATTAGTTCTTACACTTGAAAGAAGCAGAACGGGGCTGGGTCTGTTTCCTATATGACTGTCAAGAGGCAAACCCCTGGGGTAAAATAGAATCCAGGAAAATAATAGTAACGATGATTCATTTGTCTCTGTATCTGACATCTTTGCATCCAACAGTGCTCCAGTGACCTGTTGCCATGTTACTATTACGCTCTGGTTCTTGAATGGATTTCATAAGCTGCAAGCTTTGGGCTATATTTACCTTGCTCATCGTGTGACTTCCTTGCTCCTTTATGGATTCCAGTATATAAATATGCACATTATCACCTACGGATTCATCATCCTCGGAGCCCCAAGAGCTGCAGTTTCACAATGCCTGCTCAGATGATTACTTTCCAAGGCCAGCACATTCGCTTGGTATTTAATGGTAGGGTGCACAATGCCATATATTTTAAAACGGGGCTTGAAGAATGCAGCTGGAGGGCAGGGTCTGTGTCTCCGGCTGGGAATGGGCTCATCCTACTCTTGCTGCCAGCAGGATTTAACCACGGTTGTACAACAGAGCTGAGCATGCTTGTCCTTGGCTCCACTTGCAGCTAAGTTGTATTCGGAATAAGTTCAGCTGCATCAGTTAAATGATGCCAGAATAAACCACTGGACCTTGGCAAAGGCTTCGCTGCTTTGGAGAGCCATGAATTTCATGTAATACAAAATCCACAGTATTCACATTGCCTTACTACCTGTCTCACAGAGACCTTGTCCAGAGCAACCTATTCATCAGAACCTGAAATAATGGTTTCTCTGTCCCTGTCTGAGTTGATAAACCACAATTTCCCTCGGATCAGCCTGTAAAAAGTCCTTCCATGATCACAAAAGCAGATCCTTTCCTAACAAAATGTATCCACTGCAAGAAATTAATTCTCATTTCACTGAAGTGCTCTAAAGCAGAAGAAGGCTTCTGTTGGCACATGTTTTAGAGCTAGGAAAACAGTATGTGTAAAAACCCTGATGTAAATCCATTGCTTTGGGGGGAAAAGTGCTTTTCCATGGTAGTTTACCATCGTTTACATGATTATAACAGGCTCTGCACGAGGGAAGCTGCACTCATCCCAAAATAATAAATAAACCAAACCAGTGTAGGCAAGTTTGGGATCCAGCAAGTGCTGAGAGGGATGGAGCAACCTGAGACAGGGGGCTGCATTCTGGCAGCCCTGAATTCCCCTCAAAACTCTGGCATTTCTCTCAGTGTGGTTCCAGGCCGACACCGAGGTTTGAATTACCCACGTTATGTGCTCATGTGTTAGTGCCATCCTGAGAGTCCATCCCTCCTTTGTGCCAGCAAAGGATACGAAGTGCAAAGATGTTAAGTGGGAGGGAAGGGGCAGCCACGCTCCCCGAGTGCACATCCTTTTGTCTGAAAGGGGCAAAGGGGACCCTGCTGTATGTCCCCATCAAATTAAATACACCACAGACATGGCTCCCCTTCAGCATCCTGTCATCCTTAAGCATTCTGCTCCCGAGTTGTCCGACTTGTAAAAAAAATAATGGCTTCATTCAATATAAATTAGGAGCTCTGCTTCGTATCTGTCTGATCCAAAGCATTGCTAGTCAATTAGAGCATTTCCTTTCACTCCATGCCCACAGAAATAGTTTTGACCCTATTTTCCCCACGTGTTGTTGCTCTGCTTTAACTTCGGATCCCCAGAAAGCTTTCCCTTCCACGGGATTTCATTACCACTTTGTTTAAAAAAAAGAAAAAAAGTTATGGCAATTTCTTTTACTGCTACAGGAAGGTTTATTTTTCTTAATTGTTTGGTTTTTTCTCTAGTTTCTGTCCTGGAGTATTTAACACTGCTGGATGCTACAAAATTGATAGGAGCAGCCTCTGATCTGGTTGTGTTTTGGTGGTGGACTCAATACAAAGCGTGAAAGCTGCAATGAAATGGTAAGTAGTTCTCAAATTATATTTATCTTCCTATTCACTGCTGGTTTTAAGATCCACCAGACAACCCCTTTCTTTGGTGATTGCATCAGGATTTAATTTTTTCCAAGCTCCTTAGACCTAAACTCAGCTACTTTAGCCCTGTGACTAATAGAATTTGCTAATCCATGGTATTTTGCCATTTTCTTACCTCAGGAAATGTTAATGTTGCGTGATAACCCCCTGCAGACTCAAGTGCTGTCAGGATTTTTGTGAAATATCTTACTTTTGGTCAGGGCGCTGCTCGTGGGGTTTTTTCCCCCATGTGGCAACACCCCTGGTGATGTCCCAACACCCTGTAGCAACATCTGAGCCCTGATGCTGCTGGGGGAAAGTCTGGCCCGAAAAGTTGAGGAAGGGGGGGAATTTTTCGCTCTTTGGGGAACTTTTCACCCCGGGTGTTGCGGGGATGCGGGGGCCACGCGGTGCAGGGCACCAGGGTCGGGGGGGGGTGACAGCCCGGGGCCTGGGGGTGCAGAGAGTCGAGGCTGGTCGGTGCGGGGATGATGCCCTGGGGCGGTGCAGGGGGTCGGGGGTGCCGTCCCGGGGCCGGGTGGTGCGGGATCCCATCCTGGGGCCGGGAGTTGCGGGGTCTGGGCAGTGCAGGGGGCCGGGCGGTGCGGGGG